GCCTCAGTTGACTGCCAATCTGAGGTTCGAAGGTCTGCCACTGAGGGGAGCTTGTCTCCCAATCCTGACGCATTCTTTTGACCGTGGCTTGGGACAGATGTGAGCGAATCATGGGTGGCTTGCTGTACCAGGCCTTCCAGCTCAATGGAATGGTGGTCACAATAGGATTATGATCAGGGTACTCTCGGTGCTGGTTCAGGGGAAAGCACCTGAGGCATTGGGCTTGTCGAGACATCTGATCAAGCTGAGGACGACGGGCAAAAATGTAGTCAATGTTAGACTTACCGGCCGGACCTATGTAACTAGGATACGAGTCATGAACCCGAACTGAGGCCAATGAAAAACGATCAACCACTGCCTTGAAGCTGTCACAATCTGGAAACTGGGCATCTGGAACATGTCGACGGGTCGTGGACCCCAGCGTGCAGTTGAAGTCACCTGCAACAACCAACAAGTTCCAGTAAGTCCTCCCAGGCATGCCAAAAGTTCAAACGCGCTTGAAGGGGATCAGGTCGAAAGCGTGCTGTATTATTTGGATGTTGATAGCAGTTTACGAGATCAAGAGTAATGGTTCCAAGATTACACCTGATGTGTTGCAACCTGCCTTCATGAACAGTGACATGGCTAATGGAGGCTGATGAGCAGAACTGCGAGCGAACAACTGTGAGTGGACCATCATGTGCTCCAGCCTGATTGGGCGTTGGGATGAGAGCAAACCCGTGACTCTCCCACGGTTCAGCAATGCCCCATCTGGTGCCCTGAACGAAACATATATCGATCCTGTGCAATGATAGCCAGGTGAGAAGTTCGTTGTATGACTCAGTTGATAGACCTCCACAATTCCATGTCATGCAGCTTAGTCGCGGGCCCTTGGCCTGTGACGGTCTCGGACCGTTCCTCTTCGAAGAGGAGTGAACTGCAGGTGCCATTGGAGGCTGGGTGTGAACATGTCCACGATAGATGCAAAAGCCAGTTTGGAGCAATCTCCTCTGGGCTCGGGCAAAAGATCTTTTAACTGTGCGGCGTGAGGCCCTCAGTAAGGTCCCTGAGGACGCTGCATGCCCTGTTCCATGTATTTCAGGGGTATCTGACAAAACCGAAAGACACGTATCCCTTTCCGAGCGGTTCATGGACACCGCTCTACCCTCACCCCTCCCGCTCCAAAGTTCAAGTAAAAACTCTTCTGTTTGATGCTCAAGAAACTCTTCATCATGAAAGGCAAGCATCAGAGCGGGTCCGGACTTGGGACCGGATAGGTACAGCCGTGCAGCTATCGTCGAAAGGAGCAGCAGAGAATGCCAGTGCCAACCCATGGCATGGACCACGGCCGTTCTCCGCTGTTGGAGGGCTGCAGTGCACGGCTTGTACCATGGGGCTTCAAGGAAGCTACTAGGGGCTCCTGGCCATACTACTAGGAGCAAGGAAGCTACTAGGGGCTCCTGGCCTTACTACTAGCAGCAAGGAAGATACTAGGGGCTCCTGGCCTTACTACTAGGAGCAAGGAACCACTAGGGGCTAATGGCATCGGGGCTCCTGGCCTTACTACCAGGAGCAGGTGGCCTTACTACTAGGAGCAAGGAACTACTAGGGGCTCCTGGCATCGCTACTAGGAACAAGGAAGCTACTAGGGCCTCCTGGCATCGCCACTAGGACCAAGGAAGCTACTAGGGGCTCCTGGCGTCGCTACGAGGACCAAGGAAGCTACTAGGGGCTCCTGGCCTTACTACTAGGAGCAAGGAAGCTACTAGAGGCTCCTGGCATCGCCACTAGGACCTGGCCTTACTCCTACGAGCAAGGACGCTACTAGGGGCTCCTGCCACTCTCCTAGGAGCAAGGAAGCTACTGTGGGCTGTTGGCCTTACTACTAGGAGCACGGAAGCTACTAGGGGCTCCTGGCTTTACTACTAAAGACTCCTGGCATCGATACTAGGAGCAAGGAAGCTACTAGGGGCTCCTAGCCTTGCTACTAGGAGCAAGGAAGCTACTACTGGCTCCTGCCATCGCTACTGGAACCAAGGAAGCTACTAGGGGCTCCTCTACTAGGAGCAAGGAAGCTACTAGGGGCTCCTGGCCTTGCTACTAGGAGCAAGGAAGCTACTAGAGGCTCCTGCCATCGCTACTGGGACCAAGGAAGCTA